TCAGTCCCATTGAATCCGAGGTGAATTAGAAATTTTCCCTTAGAGAGACAACGTACGCTCAGATGACCTTGGCATGTCCCCCAGCTGTCGAAGCGTGGCGGTTTTCCCGCCCGAACATGCGCGGGTAATGGGGATCCAGGACCGTGGGATAGGCTACTTCCTCCATGCTCCGCCTAAATGCAACTTGCGGCGCAGACATGCTGAACGCCGCTGCAATACCCGTTTATACTGACCGCCGTCCGCGCGGCGCGTGTCGCGCGCAGCGCTCCTGGCACTTTGCCAAGTCTTGTAATTGCGCTTTGGAATACAATTAAACGCAAACTCCTGATGCGGATAACATTTGAGGTGTTGCTCATGCTGCAAAGTCCGAATCGAAGATGATGAAGATGACGAAGGCTAGAAGTTGAAGAGCAACTAATGTGGATGTGAATAAAAAATTTGATTAAATGCAACTTAATTAAAAACCCGCGTAATTTTTGCAATTCGGCGCGATTCCGGCTCCAAAGCCATAAAAAGACTGAACTAACGAGTGGGACGCTTAGGCCGTTTTCATTTTCATGTTTGGTGGGAAGGGAGATTGCAGAAGCGGCACAGCTGCTCTTGATTTCTGGCGCCCAGGAGTTTGCGTTTTGATTGTATTCGAAAGCGCAGTTACAAGTTTTGGCACCGTTCGCACGCGACACGCGCGCGCGAACGGCGGTCAGTATAAACGGGTCGGGGTATTGTGGCGGCGTCCAGCATGCCTGCGCCGCAACTTGCATTTTAGGCGGAGCATGATGGAAATGGCCTATCCCACGGTTCGGATCCACTTCCCCGCACATGTTCTGACGCTTTGAGAGCTGGGGGCTCGTTACCTTCGAACATGCCAAATGCGAGCGTACGTTGTGTCTGTAAGATCTGCAACACGATTCTTCGGAAAAATTGGGAGAAGTTTTGACTATTTCTTCGCATTAACGCACAAGCGGTCTACAAACGACACAACGAATCACGTCCTGCCCAGACAGTCCCCCACCCCAAACTTTTCTTTCTTACAACTCACGCGTTAAACTCTAATCGCTGGAAACGTGCCACTGTTGGTCAGGGGCTCCACCTTATCCACTTCACTATCCTGATTTGGCCTGCGGAGGTATTGCAGATAGGTAAATAGGATAAAGGTGCACATGTTAAAATAAATAGCTGATGGTATAGGATAGGAATCCTGGATCAGCCGTGCAGCTGCAAGGAGTGGGGAGAACTTTTTTGGAAGCAGCAGCACGTTGAAGCAGCGCCCGCTGCTTGGCCGTACCGCACAAGAGGAAAGGAGCGCTGGAGTGAGCCAACGATCGGGCTCATACAACCAGATCAATACTGATTCATATCTTATGTGCGGGTTACCACCAAAAGGATATGGTCACAGGAAATGGGATATAAAGATCTCGTTGGAAAATTCACAGTAACAACTGGGTGA